GCTATCAAACTCCATTAGAGCTGTTGCTATTTCAAATTTCTTAAGCTATGGGATAGAACAACCAGCTAATTAGCAAATGATATGGGGTTGGTTATTTGTGCTATGCTGGCTTTTTCTACATGTTTTTTTTTTCTTTTTAAAGAAGACTAGGTCAGTCTGTGTTGGTTGTTGGAGTTGAGGTGTTATAAAATCTTAGGTATCAGTAAACTTCAAGGTATTTTAATAATGACATTCATTTAACACTTTAAAATCTGCAGTTTGTTCTTTACATATATTGTTCCATTTCATACCTCTGAAGAATCCTGTGAGGTAGATAGTACAGGTATGATCTCCCTACCTGACAGATAAGGACCCTGAGGTCAGAGAGGTTATACAGTTGTTATGTCATAGGTAAGATTTGAACTTAGATCTTCCTGGCTCCAGATCAGCACTCTATCTATTATTATTCCACATAGTTTTTCATTTTCTCTCTGTAGATTATGTCCATTTTCTTCCCCCTGTTAGCTTGTTTGTCTATAGTTGTTTGAATATTGTCTCCTCTATTACAGTGTTGAGTTCTTTGAGAGCAGAGACTGTCTTTTATCTTTTTAATTTTACTGCTTGGCACAATGCCTGGTACATAGTAGGATCTTAATAAATGTTTATGGACTGAACAGGAAGGAAGATGAAACAGACAAAGGGGGATGCAGGTATTGTGGTTGGGAAGTGCAAAGAAGAGGACTCCGAGATCCATCATTCTTATCATTTGTATAATCCATTGGTGTTTTGGTTGTACATAACTTTCTGCTTGTCTGCCAAATGATTGCCCTTTGTTGAATGTTCCCTTGTGTTGAATTTTCATTTATTTGATGGAGTAAAGGGACTAATTGTTCTGTAAGACAGAGTTTATCAACACATTTGCCCAGTAAGTGGCTTTTTCTCTTTACTCAGGAATTTAGATAGCTCACAAATTAAATTGAGGAAACAGAAAAGGCTTCAGTAGACTCCCTCACCAAAGAAGCATATCTCTTCTTAAATAGTATATGATGCATACGCACCCTCCCCCAAATTCCACATATACAAATATGCAAAGCAGCACTCTTTGTGGTAACAAAGAGCTAGAAATAAGGTGTGCCCATCTCAGCTGGAGTGTGACTGAAGAAGTTTTAGCATATGAATGTGACAATATAACAAATTTTAAAATGTTTAATGAGAGAACTGAAAAAAAAACCATGGCAAGTTTTAAATAAATAAACAGAATCAAAAGAACAACGTACACAATGACTGTAACAATGTAAATGGAGAGATCATTAAAAGGAAGCCAGACTCTGAGTAATGGAAAACCAATAATGATTCCAGAGAATAGCTAATGAAACATTATATTCCCCAGTGGGAGACTACAAGGGCAGAATCTCACATAGATTGTTAGATGTGCTAACTGTATTGGTTATTTTTTTCTTAACTGTTTGCCTTTTTTTTTAAATGAGAGGGTTCAATTATAGGTTTGTATTTATTATGCTCAGAAATAAGTTTGCTGTTAAAACAAAAAGTATAAAAATAATAACACGTAACTTTCTAAGAGCCAGTTTTGAGTCCTTTTCATAGACACCTTTTTTTTTTAATGAACAAATAAGTGAAAAAGAATTTATTAAAGACTTGGTAGGTATATGCCAAGCACTCCCTGGCTCTGACTACAAAGAATAAGAGACCGCCTGTCCTCAAGAATCTTATTCTAATAAGGGAAGCCGACACATAATAGGAGAGTGGTGGCCAGAAAGGGTGTTTTGGTGGAAGTCACAGGGATCGTAAGATTTTGAATTTTCATTTATTATTTTGAATTAGAAGGGATCTCAGAGTTTTATCTAGTTCAGTTTTACAGATGAGGAAACTTAGGCCCAGAGAGGTTAAGTGATGCCCAAGGTCATACAGATAGTAAGTTGGTTGGTCATATACATATAGTCAATCACAACAAATTTCCACATAGGCCATGTTCTAAAATATATATATATGTTTTTTTTTCCCATTCTTAGTCTTTCACCTCTATTTCAGGAGATGGGTGGCATATTTCATCATCAGTTCTCTGGAATCTTGATTGGTAATTATGCTTATAATGGTTTAGGACAATAGTATTCCATAACATTTCTGTACCCTAAGTTGTTTATCTATTAATCAATTTGTGGGCAGCTCCTGAAATTCCCATTCTTTGTCAACTCAAAAAGAACTACAGATGTTTTTGTACACCATTGGAATCTGTTTTCCTAGGACTAATTCCTCCTTTTGGGCAGTGAGGTGACACAGTAGACTGAGCCTGGAGTCAGGAAGACTCATCTTCCTGAGTTCTGAGTTCAAATCTAGTCTCAGATACTTACTAGCTTTGTGACCCTGGACTAGTCATTTAACCCTGTTTGCCTCATCTATAAAATGATCAGGAGAAGGAAATAACAAACCATTCAAGCGTCTTGCAAAGAAAACCCCAAATAGGGTCATGAAAAGTCAGGCATGACTGAAAATGACAGAACAACAACAAATCCCTCCTTTTATTTGCTGTCTTTCCTTCCTATTTCATTGTTGAGTGAAATGTGTTTCTGTACCCAACTTTGTGTGTGTGTTGTATATTCTTCCTTCTTTTGATTTTCCTTGTTACTGTAGCATTTCTGAAGGGAAAGTTAGAGATGGTCCTGTTGCTACTTTCTTGGGAGCATTGAGTGTTGTGCAGGCTCTCAGGGATAGATAGGAGGCCTGCAAACTTTCAGTGATCCCAAAGTGTTCTGATCCAGGACAAAGTCTGATTGTTGCCCCTCTGGTCTGAGCTCTGCAAGTTCTTGACTGATTTAGGTCAGTGTGAGAGTAGATTGCTACTGGACTCTGTCAAAGAGGCAGAATTTTAGGCTCCCTTTTTGTCTGGGCTTTTCACCCTATTTATTCCTTCACAGGCTAGCCTTACACTTTGTGGTCTGAGCCACACCACTGCTGTTGCTCTGCTGACTTCTGAACTTGCTTCTTTATGCATTGCCCAGGGACTCCCTACTTGGGAATGCCACTGTTCTCTTCTCACTCTGTCCTGGATCTGCGACCTGGGACTGGGCAGTGGGCTATAAAGCTGCCAGTTCACACCTGTACCCAACATAGGACCCTGGTGTGGGTCTGGGGATGCCTCAGATGGGTCTGAGACCTTCTCTTGCCCTGGTATACACCCTCTCTCTAAGTGCTGGAATGTTTGTTGCAGTGTGCTCCTGGCCCAATTTTGTTTCCAGTGTTCACTTACCTCCTTGTCTGTCTTCCTAAGCTGACGGGTGCTGGACTAAGGACTTATGATTTTTTCCCCAACAGGATTTAACATGATGTATTTTCTAGGTCTTTTAGGGGAAATTTGTGGAGAGAAGCTCACTGTATTGCTTTCCTTTACTCTGCCATCTTGGCTTGGCCTCCTACACCACACTTTCCAATGGTTTTGCTCTTCTGTTGTATGAGGTTGAGAATGGTAACAGGAGAATGTTGTTTTCTTCTTCCTTAGCCATTGTCTATGACCTATGAAATATCAGCTCTCTGTGCCACTTGTCACTCAAAAGGTAAAGGCCAAGTGACTCATTTGGGTAGGAGGAAAAACAAGCAAAAGGTAATGCAGATATGGTGTGTGACTCAGGTGCAGAAAGATGCATGGGAGAAGTAATCTCAGGATCATAGAATTTTGAGCTAGAAGTAAGCAGAGAAATCCTCTAGTCTTACCTCCTCATTTTATAGGCAAAGGAGATAATAAGTAGAGAGCTTTCTGTAGTTGATAGAGTGCTGGACTTGGAATCAAGGAAGACCTGCAAGGTGCAAATCCCATCTCTGATGCTTATTAGCTGTATTTTGTTGTTCAGTTGTTTCAGTTGTGTCTGACTCCTTGCGACTCCATTTGGGGTTTTCTTAGCAAAGATACTTGAGTGGTTTGCCATTTCCTTCTCTAATTCATTTTACAGATGAGGAAACTGAGGTAAACTTGCCCAGGGTTATACAGCTAATAAGTATCTGAGGCTGCATTTGAACTCAGGTCTTCCTGACTAGCTACTGTGTCCCCTAGCTGCCCTTAGCTGTATGACACACTATAAATTACTTAGGCTCTTTGAGCCTTAGTTTCTTCCTCTGTAAAGTGGGGATAATAATACCAGTAGTACCTATCTCACAGGACTGTCATGGTGAGTAAAAGAGACAATGTTTATTATACATTTTGTCGATTTTAAAGTTCCGTATAATTTTCAGTTATCATTATGACTTTGTGCCCAGGTCATACAGGAACACATCCAGAATTCCCCATAAAGGTAAAGATCGTAGAGGTACCTCTAAGCATCTGGTCCAACCTACTCATTTTGTAAAGAGGGGAAGGAGGCCCAGATAAGTAAAGTAAAATGCCCAAGGTCACATAGATAGTAAGTAGGAGAGCTAGGATTTTTCCTGACACAGAATCCAATGTTCTACGAAACACTGCAAATCCAAGGTTTTGTTTTTGTTTTTTATCTTGCCTGCCCTACCTGTATATAGCAGCTTCAAGAGGAGGACAAAGCTAACAACTGAATTAGACTAACATTTAGTAAGAGCCTGCTGTGTATGGAACACTGTGCTAGGCACTGGGGGAGCTCATAAGCCTAGATAAGACATGCTTCCTGCACTCATAGGGAATACAGTGTAGTTTGGGGAAAGCATGGGAAATATTATAACTAAAATACAAAGGAACACATAATGAGTTATGTACCACATCAGGTTTATGGGAAAGGGAAAGGTGGTTATCAGCTGTAGGTTGCAGGGGGAGGGAGGATCAGGGAAGGCTTCCTGGAGGGGGTTTTGGGTTTTTGTTTGGGCTTTGAAAGATGAGAAGAAATTCAATCGATGGAATTGAGGAAAGGTGGTGGTCCTGTAACCATGGGGGTTAGCAGGTGAAAGCAGTTTTCATGTAGGTGCTGTCCTGTATTCACTCTATCTGTTTTTGCCTCCATTGCTTTTATTTTCCTGTCTTAATTTTTTTCGTGGTTTCTTCTCCATAGGCAGGAAGCGGAACCCTGGGCTGAAGATTCCAAAAGAAGCATTTGAACAATCTCCGACTACTTCAGCGTAAGTTTTCAGAACCTTGCTGCTTATATGTCGCAAGCTCTTAGAGACCATTGGATAATTTGTGCATATGTAGATGACCTGCTGACACTAGGAAGGGCTTTCCTTAGAAAGGTCCATTCTAAAGAGGGTGTGGGATGCTCAATTGGTTACTTCATTGTTTCAAATCCATGTGATTCAATTACTGGAGGCACTTCCTCTGCCAGTGCAGTTTGAGAGATACTGTTGAGTTATATGGTCATTGTATACTATGTTATAGTGCTTAAGAGCTACTGTGACCAAAAGATTCATCACTTGGGAGCAAAACTGATGATGAGTCTGTCTAAACTTGGCTAGGCTGATCCTTGGATAACAGTTGGCTTTAGAGTCTATCACTATGCCACTGGCATATCTCAGAGCTTACAACAGCTTTTGAGAACCCAGGTTCGCCTCAATACCATGATGAGGCACTGGAGGAGGAACTTAGAGAGAAATTTCCTAGAGGCAGCTAGGTGATACGACTGACCTGAAGACAGGAAGACCTGGGTTCATATCCTTAGCCTCAGACACTTACTAGTTGTATGAGCCTTAGAAAGTCACTTACTTAATCTATGCCTGCCCCAATTTTCTCAACTGCAAAATTGTATCTACTTCCCAGGCTCGTGGTGAGGATAAAATACAAACCTTAAAGCGCTATGTAAATTATAGAATTCCCTGGTTAAAGGACTGAGCCCTGCCTGAATGTCATTGGATGCAGCCAATAGGTATGGTAGGGTCTCCTCTCCTCCATACCTGTCTGCCTAGTTTCCTATACTCCTTCATGGAATTAGATTCTTTTCCCACCCCCAACCCCTTCCCTGCAGGGTTGGGAAGGGTACTGTGAACCTTTCAGTCAATATGGGATTATTAATCTTTCCTTTATATCCTACTCATGGGCATCCTTTTATAGTCCCTTATTTATATGCCCTACCAGTGCATCTAGGTAGAATTCAGTATGCTACAGGGTAAAAAGCATTTGGCTGAAAGTCAGTGGACCTGGGCTCTAGAACTGGCTTTGTCACTGATTAGCTGGGTGGCCTTGGTTCCCCATTCTGGGTCACAATTTCCTCATCGCTAAAATAATAGAGTTGCCTAGATGTCCAACAATAGGGGAATCATTAAACAAATTGTGGTACATTAATGAAATGAAGTTCTATAATGCAATTAAGACTGAAGAATACCAAGAAATCTGGAAAGACATTTATGCAAGAATTCCAGGTGGAAAAAGCAGCTGGAAAAATGGATGGCACTTTAACTGCAAACATATGAGGGAAAGTAAATAAAAATGAATGGACAATTTTGATGGGCACATGCAGTGACTGATACAGCATTGTGGGGATTTATTATTGAAATTAATTTGAAGATCAGGAGTAATAGCAAGTTTTGTGGTTTGTATTGATAGTTAATGTTAAATTTTTAATGCAACTATTAAAACATAATAGGGTTGAACTATAAGAGTGCTAAGGTTTCCTGCAGCTGTAGAAGTTTTTTTTTTCCTTTTAGAGTATAGGGATGATAGGGAGATCCATTGTATGTATTCATCAATTGGCTTATTTAGTTTTAAAGTCCTTGAAGTTCAAGCTGAGTTCCTTAAGATCCATACCATAACCCTCTACCATTTGAACTTTTATCTCCTCTCCCACCCCACCATGTGTATTCTGGCCAATTTTGCAAGATGGCTAGTTAATTCTCACATGGCTTTTCTACTTGCTGTCTTAACATCACAACAGAAACAAATATACTGGCACCTGTTATTTCCCCTCTTAATTTTGTCCTCTGAATACTGTTTGTTTGGGTACATGCGCTAGAGTCATGAATGTCAACCAGCTTTTGCTGACTTGGATTTCCAAGCCATCCCCTAACATAGTGTGAATGGGCCATTCTTTTGCGTGATAGAAGAATGGATAGCTAGGAAGACTTTGGCAGAAGAAGAAAGCAATTGATTAGTGACTGAGGAAGAAGTAGGACCCCACATTTCTGTATCTTAGAATAAGGAACTGGTTATTGAATAGGAGAATAATTGTGTGCTTAATTAAATTCAGCAGTCATTTATTAATCACTTAACTATGTTCAAGATGCTGTGCTAGGCATTAGGAATACAAAGCCAGGGCCAAAATGTTCCTACTCTCAAGAAGCTTGCATGCTATTGGGAATAGGGTGTAAAAGATACAACATAGGGGCAGCTAGGTGGCACAGTGGATAGAGCACTGGCCCTGAATTGAGGAGGTCCTGAGTTCAAATCCGGCCTCAGACACATAACACTTACTAGCTGTGTGACCCTGGCAAGTCACTTAACCCCATTGCCTAGCCTAAAAAAAAAAGATACAACATATACATAGGCAACCATTATATGTGAGAGAATGGTGGAAGGAAGAAGAGAACAGAATATGCTTGGAATATCTCAGAATTTTATTTTATGTTTTGGGGGCAATTCAAGTCGAATCAATAAGCATATATCAAGTGCCTGCTGTGTATGTGCAGGCCTATTCTAAATGATGGGGATACAAAGAAAGGCAAAAACACTACCCGTTCTTAAGGCTCTTATGGTTTAATGGAGAAGACAATATGTAAATAGCTGTGTTCAAACAAGATATATATGGGATAAATTGGAGATACTCTTAGAAGGAAGGCACTAGCATTAAGAGGAATTGAGGAAGACTCCTGGTAAAATGTGGGATTTTAGCTGGGACTTGAAAGGAGCTAGAGAAGCCAGGAGACAGAGATGAGGAGGGAGAAAATTCTAGGAAGCATCTTTGTTAGGCATGAGGTTTTGCCTCAAGAAGATCCAAGTTTTGGACAGAAGATAAAGAACCTCCTTTCCCATATCTTGTAACATCAAAGTATCCAAGGCAAACTATTATGACCAATCCTAGAGAAGGCACTATTACAATATAACCTGGTAGTTTTGGGGGCTTTCACTTCCTGCTTTTGGTCAACTTGAAGGCTACGAAGGCCTGAAAATAAATGAACTGATTAATATTAGAAGTATAGAGGGTTAAATTCGGAGTCAGCCAAATTTCATTCTCAGTTCTGTTCCAAATTGTGTAACTTCAGGGAAGTTTCATTTATATACGTAATTTAACAAATGTTGGATTGAGCACTTAACTATGTTAGGGTACCATGCTAGGAGGAGATGGAGAGATGAATAAAAGAAGCCCAAAACTCAAACTTACAGTGTAGTAGGGGGAGTTTTTTTGGGGGGAGGAAGAAGGGAGAATTTGGACCTGAGTTCCCAATGTGCTAACTTTGTCCATCAATATAGAGCAACTAATTTTTATTCTTATGAAGTTGTTTAAGTCAATGAGAAGTGACTTGCCTTATCATTGGTTGCCATTATATGTCAGAAAAAGGGCTTGAACTCATATCTCCCTAAGACTAGACTAAAAGCCACAAATAATTATAACATAAAACTGCAATTTTTTTGTGCCCCAATTTCTCTCATCTATAAAATAATAGAACATTTTCTTATTAGGTAAAGGTTTTATGATATTGATGTAGACATATAGACTCATTGGATTTTGAAGCTGTAAGGAATGTTAGAGATTATTTAGTTCAACTTTATTTCACACTTGAAACTGAAGGCTGCAGAAACCAAACAACTTCCCAAGATCACATAGTTCTTTAATTCTCAGACAATATATTCTCTTTCCAGGACTGTGTTGCTGCTATTTGAAAATGCTTTGTGCTTTTAGAAAGGGAAAATCATTATAGTGTTGTTTTTGTTGATCACATGAGTCAAAAAATATTTGTCCTTATTCTTTAACATCATTATAGTTAATACAAATGGCAAAGTAAACTTTCAAGGTGAAGAATGGGCTATTGAGTTTTAGAAATGTAAGCCACGCAGCAAAATCTTCTTAAAGAATTCCCCTAAAGTTCAAATTATATGTAAATGCCATTGCTAATTCTGTTATAAACATGTGCATGTGTGTATAGCAAACACACATACATTTTAAAGTTAATTATGGGGGTAGGAAAGATTAGTTTCATTTTCTTTATAAATAGAAATATTAACCTTGGGTTTTGAGGTCAAAAGATAGTCATTATTTCAGATTCAGTTTTTGTTTTTTCTGTTTTCAGATCCCTATTATTTAGCAATATTTAATGAAGTTTTAATAACCTTCCTTTTTTTTTTTACCTTAAAAATAGTCAGTAAGGATAGGAGCTTATCAGAATGGGCTAAGGAAAATCTGCAGTCTTTGAGTGGGATATTGCAGAGTAGTCTATGGGAGTGTATGTAGTTTCTCTTTCCTTGGCAAAAAACACAGGGTGTGTGTGTGTGTGTGTGTGTGTGTGTGTGTGCGCGCACGCACATGAACTTCTGATTTGGAATTCCCTTCCAGAAGGACCAAAGAAATATACCTCTAGAGCCAATCCCAATCTGGAGGTTCAGGTTTATCATTGTCTTTTACCTATTATTGCTTGTTCTATATTAATTTTATCGATCAACAATGCCTTTTAAAAATAACTTATTATTTTTATTATGGTTGTTTTCCTTTATAGGGATAAGGACTAGACCTCTGATTTTATTGGTATAGGGAACCTCTGAATGAGGAAACTCCCTCTCTCAATACAGGTTGGCACCATTTCTTGCAACTTGTAGTCACAGAGTGCTGCCTGGGATACTGAGGGGTTAAGTGACTTCGCCCAGGGCCACACAACCAGTATGTGTCAGAGGAGGTACTTGATTCTGGGCCTTCCTGTCTGTGAGGCTAGAATTCTATTATGTCGCAATACATGCATGCTAATGTATAATTATGTATCTTTTGTTTATATCTGGTAGGGTAACTCTATCCATTGATGCAGTTCTGCAAATGGTTTATAACTTAGAAAGCTACAATGTTATTTCAGGCACTGAGAGTAGCTTGCTCATGGTACTAGTGGAGGCACATTGACTCCAAAGATATGCTCTCTATCCACTATGGCTTGATACCTCTCCTCTTAGACTGACTTTTTGTAAATAGTTGCAAGGTCTCCAGTGAGGCATATGGTACGGTACTAAACATTTTTTTCTATTGATAGGGCCAGGATAGGAACCTTTTAGTTGGTGGAAAGGGGCTTGAAACATAGGGAGGGAAGTGGCAGTTCATATTTTCCCCAATGGAGAAAAATCAAGAAACTAGCAGTTGATTTTTCACCTAGAGGAACTTTTTGGATGATAGGTACTTAATAAATAGAACCCTGGAACTGGAGTCAGAAGACCTGGATTCAAATCCTGGTTGTGCTGCTTACTGCCTGTGTGACCTTGTCAAGTCACATAACATTTCCAAGGGTCAGTTTTCTCTTCTGCAAATTGAGAAGGTGGACCAGATCATCTCCACTTCCAAATCTTATAATCCTAAATACCTTTTGATTTGACTTGAGGCAGCAAGCTATGCAGCTAGAAAAAGCAATGTTCTGGAAATCAGGAAACCAACATTCTATTCCAACTTTTGCCATATGCCATTTGTATAACCTTGGGAAAGCAGCTTAACTCCTGGGCCTCAGTTTCCTTATCTTTAAAATGTGGGAGTAAGATGAAATGAAGCCTAATTTTCTTGGTCCAAAGCTTTTTTTAATGAGCATCTCTGGGGGAAAAAAGTTAAATGATTAAGCATGTTGATGTTCTTGGCAAGAGGATTAGGGGCTATGGTTTTGGATTAGAGTTTCGATTATTCATTACCACAAGCATACATCTTATTCTTAAAGAATATCAACACAAATGTATGTATCATGAAGAATCTGGAAGTCAGTATTTTGAATAATCACAGAATTTCAGAGCTGGAAAGGATGACCTCAGTGGCTCTGTACTCCAACCAATACATGAAAAAAAGAATTTGCACTATGCCACATACCTGGCAAGTGGTTATCCAGCTTTTGCTTGAAGATGCCCAAATCTACTATTTCTGGAAGTAGCCCATTCCACTTTTTTATAGCTGTAATGCTTAGGATTTTTTTCTTTATATAAAACTTATGTATACCTATTTGCCGTTTTCAACCATCACTTTTGGTTTTTCTCTCTGGGGTCAAACAGAATAAACCTATTTCCTTTTCATCAATGGTGCTTTTCAATATTTGAAAACCATTATCTTGTGTCTCCTGAATCTTTTCTTCTTCAGGCTAAACATCCCCAGTTCCTTTGACTTTCCTTATATGCCATGGATTTGAAGCTCTTACCATTCTGTTTGTCCTCTTTTGTGTTGATAATACCATATTTCTCCTTTTTAGGAATTATGTTTATTGTTTTGATCTTCCCTATTACCAAGATACTTCTGTGTGGTCATTGTTTTTCTTTGTTTCTTTTTGCTCATGTTGTTTTCTTTTTTTTTTCTGGCTTTAAAAGTTGATCTCTGCTTCTGGGACAGAGGGGGTCACTGTCCCAGGCTTCTTGTGCTAGGGGCTAGGGGCCTGGTTGCTGGTTTTGTGTGCTGGGGCCTCAGGCATTGGCAGCTGGAGGCGTCTGGTAGCTTACCTGGTACTAAGCTGGAGCTGGTGGTGGTGGCTGGTGTGTGCCTGGTGTTGCTGCTTGCCTGCTCCACCACCCTGGGGCTCAGGATCTCCTGCTGGTTTGCTGAGGTGGGGCTTGCCTCTGGCTTGCTGGAATGCCTCCCATCCTGTACTGGTCTCCTTCAGCCACAGCAAGAGGACCTTTCCTGTTAATCCTCCCAGCCTCCCGAGCTAAAAGACAGCTGTACTTTGTCTTTCTTCTGTGTCCACTATTTCATGATTTTTCCTGGGGCAATATTCTCTGGGTTTTTTAAGGTCAGTAAGGGAGGGTGAGAGTAACTTACTGCTTACTCTGCCATCTTGGCTCCCGGAAGTCAAAATAGGTCAGAATTGTGTCTATTGTGAAGATTTCTAACATTTAATGTATTTTTTTCATAGGCCTCCTCGGGATTTAGATTCCAAGGCTTGCATCTCAATTGGAGATAAGGTGAGAGCAAGTTATATAATCCAGGTAATATGCAGAGCTAGGCTTTTCCACATCTATACTTTACCACTGAGAATTTCAATTCCACAAACATTTATTAAACACTAACTACATATAAGAGGCTTTGCTAGGTGTTGAGAATACAAAGATGGAAACAAAACAATACATACCCTCAAGAAATTTGCCTTCTACTGGGGGTACACAACATCCACACAAGTAAGCACAAAGTCTATACAAAATAAGGAAAAGAGTGCTAATAACTGGGGGGAGGGATGAAGAGAGTCATCATATAGAAGGTGACAGCTGAACAATACTTTGTACAAAGGCAGAGGTAGGAAGGGAAGTACGTTTCAGATGTGGGGTACCACTTACACAACTGCATAGAAGTGGGATAATGATGGGGGTATGGAGAGTAGCTTAGTAGGCCAGTTTGATGGAATTTTTTTAAATTTAAGACTCTGTAACACACTGGAGTGGCAGCTAGGTGGCGCCACAGTGCATAGTGTTCCTGGCCTGGAGTTAGGAAGGCTCATCTTCCTTAGTTCAAATCTGGCCTCAGACACTTACTAGCTATGTCACTCTGAGCAAGTCACTTAACCCTGTTTGCCTCAGTTTCCTTATCTGTCAAAGGAGCTGGAGAAGGAAATGGCAAACCACTCCAGTATCTTTTCCAATGCAACCCCAAATGGAATCACAAGGAATTGGATACAGCTGAAAAGAACTGAACTACAGCAACAATCTAGTGGAAGTTGTGGCTCCTGAGAGGCTTGTGTGGGGAGAAAAGTGGTGTGTGTAGAAATGTTTATATTATGCACGGTGAGGCAGAACATAGCAATTGTAGTCCTTTTGGAAAATTATAGTCTTGTGTTTGAGGGGGAAAAAAAACAAATTTCCTTGAGCAGGAGTAGCTTGAAGCATGAATACAAACTTTAGTTGGCAATATGTGATAAATTTCAAGCTTAGTCAACACAATGTAACTGAATTCTCCCTCCTTCCTCTACTTTTCCTCCTCTTTCTAGAATTAACTAAGTAAAATTAAATCATTTGAAGTCTCTACTAGAGTATGATGGGTACTATGACAGGCCCTGAAGTGGTCTATTACTAAGATTTCATTTGGATCTTCTTGCCTGAAGCTATCTCAGTGGTTGTTTCACCATCCTAGAACACTTTCTACCCAGAATCCTTTTCTTCATTGCTTGTAGAAGTTGGGCAGAGTCTATTGTAATTTATTTTTTTCTCTCCTTTAGAATTTTGAAGTGAAAGCTGATGACCTGGAACCTATAGCAGAACTAGGACGAGGTGCATATGGGGTGGTGGAGAAGATGCGACATATGCCTAGTGGGCAGATCATGGCGGTGAAGGTAGAGTGAGATTACCCAGATGTTTTATGTGTATGTGTGCTTATTTTTCCATTTAAGTTAAGATCCATCCATTTTAGAGGAATGATCCTGCCTTGAGAGTGTTTAAAAAAAGAATCTTTAGGGGCAGCTAGGTGGTGCAGTGGATAGAGCACCGGCCCTGAAGTCAGAAGGACCTGAGTTCAAATCTGGCCTCAGACGAAACACTTGACATTTACTAGATGTGTGACTCTGGGCAAGTCACTTAACCACAGTTGCTTAAAAATAAAGAATCTTTGACTTCTAAGGAGAATTGGCATATAATGTTTAGGGAGTGGGTCTTCAGCCATCTTTGAAGTGGACTTCATCAATTATTGGCTTTGAAAAAACAAACAATGATCACGTGGCAGCATTGACTCTAATATGAGAGACAGTATGGTGTAGTGGATAGAACACTAGAGTCATGAGGCTCAGTGATTTGTCATTTCACTTGTCCAAGCCTCAGTTTCCTCATCTGTTAAAATGAGAATAATAATGGTGTCTACCTCACAATTCTTGTGTGAATAAAATTCTCATTTATAAAAAATCCTCATTTAGAACATATTTAAAGCACTTTACAAACTTTAATTGTGTTGTTATTATTATTATAAAATTTAGTACTAAGAAGAAGAAAACTTTTACACCAATGGACGTGGTGAAGGACTCTCCTTCAGAGTGTAATTTATGCAAAATTTATGCAAATAGCTATCAAATTTTTTTAAAAATGTAGTTTTAAAAATCACTGGTATCTTCAATGACAAGAAATCAAGAAAATTTGAGAACACTGTATCTAGTAGCTAATAACACAGAGCTGCTATAAAGAATGTCTATAGTCAGATAATCCAAGTCATCTTTACCCAACTTGTGAAAAATAGCTGAGGGTGCTATCATAACAAGGACCTCAGTGTCAAACTGTTATTATTTTTGACTAAATATTCAAGAGAACACAAGATCTTAGTGATATTGCATTAATTCACATTTTGCTACAAACTGTATGTTCCTTTTAAGGTCTCCGAAAAATGTGGGTGTTGATGCTGATTGTTGTCATTTCTTTTAAGAAATTTATGTTGTTAGACTAAATGATTCCTTCACTCTTGTACACATTTATTCTCTTATATGTACTCTATGAAAGGTGAATAGTCTGTGTTTTCTCTTTAGCTTTCCAGAAATCAGTAGTTTTTGATATCTATAAAAATTTGAGTGCTGGCTGAATCTTCTACAATACTCACTACAAATATAGGGTTTTTCTTTTTAAGGGATAAATTGAAAAGAAAAATGTGGCCTGTTGACTTCTTAGAACCCTAATTTAGTTTAAGCTTCTAATTTTCTTGTAATTGCCTTTACAGACTTAGAAAGCAAGAATCATTAAGAAATTCTTAAAATGTTTTAGGTATAACCCCAAAATTTTCCCAGTTTTTGGAAGAATTAAAAAAACCCCATTAGATGAAAATACAAATTATTTACTGATTCCTCAAAAGGTATTACCAGCCAGTTTTTCCATTGCAAGTTGCTCAAGTGTGTCAAATGAATGACATGGCATATCTCACTATGTCATGACTCACTTGAAATGAGGAACTCTCTGAATTGCCTTATCTTTTAGAAGGCCCATCTAGAAGTCATCTATTATTTTAGAATGGGAAAACTCAAGTTCCATGCCCTGACTATCACCAAGAAGAATAACCATGAGTTTTCCCCATGCGTTTTCACTTAGCGAATCCGAGCCACTGTGAATAGCCAGGAACAGAAGAGGCTACTGATGGACCTGGATATCTCCATGAGGACAGTGGATTGCCCTTTCACAGTCACCTTTTATGGTGCACTCTTCCGGGAGGTAGGTAGCTCACCTGTTGGGAGTTTTCAAAGGATGGGATTTACCAGATAGATAGCTACTTTGTCAGAAATTTGTCCATATGTAAAGAACACTCACGACCATTATCATTCTTTTCAGTAAACACACGTTTTGAATGATTTAAAGGGTTATGTGATTACTATGTAGCCAAGCCTAAAAGTTAGCTTAGATGACTGCCCTTTTCACTGATGATAAGCCTTCTTTCTCCTTCTTGACTTGGTCATTCAGCCAAACTGCTGAAATGAAACTTAAGATTCCCTTATGTTGTGTTTCACTGGCAGCATGAGTAGTCGATTTGAAACTTAGAGACTTAATTCCTAAACCACCCCTCCCTTTGGTTTTTTTTTTTTTGCTTTTTCCCTCTGTGTGTTTTTTTTTAAAATCCTGAAAGGTAGAATTAATGTCATTTGGGTTACAGTATATACTTTCATTCTTTATGTTAGTTATTTTGATTGAGAGGACATTTCTGATCCTCAGATACAGAGGCCAACCTTGGAGGGGATATCTCAGACATGGACTCCAAGATGACATTAGAATTAAAAGTTTAAATTGAAACTGAATGTTGTAAAATGACAGAAAGCAAGCTTGACCTGAAAGAAGAGATATGAAAAGATACCACCTTCCCACTCATTTGCAGAGGTTGGGGTGTGGCAGAGGAATCCATTGATTTGAAACGTTGTATATAATTTCAAACCTTTTCAGTATATTGATAAGTTTTATTGAATCTTTCTTCTCATTAAAAAGTAAAATTGTTATAAGAAATGATTCTCTGAGAGGCTATATATAGGAAATATATACAAAATAGATACCAAAGTTTGGGTAGTGGTGGGGAACACATACACCTGGGAAGGCTACAGGGGAGAAATCCAGGCTATATAAAAACAAAATGTATCAATAAAAGGTCCATTTGAAAAAGAATGAAAGGCTTAGGTAACTGATTCTGGTGAATAATTAAGATCTAGTCTACATTACATGACACGTGATCTATAAATTCTGTGGCTTCCAACTTTGCTTCTTGTCGTTTTCCAGGGGTGGGGATCCTGTGATCTTGAGGCCATGTGCTGTCCTTTAGGTCCTCAAGTGTGGCGCTTTGACTGAATCCAAACTTCTTTGTTCTTTATGGCCTCAGGACCACAGATTCCCCACCCCTGGGTTAGGCCTTGGAGATGATCCTACCTGGTTGCAAGTCTCTAATATCCCAGGAGGTGGCACTTAAAACTGAATCGAATAGAACTTAATTCAACAAACATGAAGTACTTATTATGTGTATAATACAATGCTAGGGATTAGAAAGATAGACAGACATGAAATAATACTTGCCCCAAAGGATTTTAGGCTCTTAAATAAATATTCTCCTGGGAATGGGGGAGGATTCAACATTTTATTCAATAGAAACTAATGAAAGCAAAGAACATATAAAATGTTCTAGGAATATTAAAGGAGGTAGAGCACCATCAGCTGGGAGGATCGAGTAACAACATGTTTACTGCTCATCCTTGGAAGGATGTGAGTTGTTCCTGCTCGCTCTCTCTCTCTCTCTCTCTCTCTCTCTCTCTCTCTCTCTCTCTCTCATCTTCTAGGGTGATGTGTGGATCTGTATGGAACTCATGGATACCTCACTGGACAAGTTCTACAAGCAAGTCATTGATAAGGGCCTAACGATCCCAGAGGACATCTTAGGGAAAATTGCAGTTTCTGTGAGTAGAACATTTATGTAATAGAAGCCATTGAAATGAAGGAATAAAAAGGTAGTTCCATTTTGACCTGTTTTTTTTCCCTCTTTTGGATGAAGATGGGCAGAAGACACAATTATATCACTGACTTTGTTGGGTTTGCCCATAATAAAGTACCTCTTAGGAGTATATTTATTTGGCAAGACCACATATTTGGCACTGTAATATTGTCTTTCACTTCCCCTCCTTACTTCCCCTCTACCATTTCTCTGGAAATAGACGCCTAGAGGATTCAAAAGAAGAGCAAGAAGAATAACAGCAGGACTGGAGAGAAGACAAAAATTCTGGAGGGCAAAATCTAGACAAGAGAAAGAGGAGAATTGTAGAAGTAGATTTAATTTAGTTCCACAGACATTTCAGTGTCTTCTAGGGCACTGGTCTAGGCACTGAGGATATAAAACAATAAGTAAACAAGAACCTCTGCCTTCAAGAAACTTTCATTTTATTGGTAGAGAGTGGGAAGTAGGGGAACAACATATACATCGATTAATAAATAGAGAGTATCCAAAGATACATACCAAATAATTGGGCAATGTGGTGGGCAGCACTGACAACTGGGAGAATCATGAAAGTCCATCAAGTCATGTTAAGCCAACAAGCAATTTTAAAGCAATTATTTTCCAGGCACTGTGTTTAGTGCTGGAGATATGAAGAAAAACAAAAACATTCCTGTTTTCAAGGAGCTCAACATTCTTTTTTTGTTTTTGGTGAGGCAATTGGCTAGTGAGTGATATGTGTCTGAGGCCGGATTTGAACTCAGGTCTGTCCTGACTTCAAGGCCAGTGCTCTATCCACTGCACCACCTAGCTGCCCCTGGAGCTCCCATTCTAATGAAGAAGACTACATGCAAACAACCAGCAAACAACATACATATAAATTAAATTGGAGTTAATATCAGAGGGAAGGTGCTGAGATTATGGAAGACTGATGAGAGTGAGACTCCTTCACTGTCATGGTGATATTGGATTTGAACCTCTAAAGGTTCTGGAACACATTTCATGCAACCTTACCTATATTACAGCATTACTTTTCCTGGGACACCCCCAACTTGGGCAGATCCCTCTAGGAATCTAATGTCAGGGAGAAAGAATGTGTAGGTAGGTGCTAAATTCTTTCCATTCCCCCCCAGTAATTGTGTAATGAATTTCTGTTGTTTCTCCTTTGCAGATTGTAAAAGCCCTAGAACATTTACACAGTAAACTTTCTGTCATTCATCGAGGTAAGTGTGTGTCCTTTTTGCTGTACGCTCTGTCCCAGATTATTAGCCAGTTCACGGAGTTGTTGTCCATGCCAGAGGTAGGATTAAGCCACATAAAGGAATGAAGGAGTTTCCCTTTGGGATTGGCTAGCAGCCTGTTTAAACAGCTGCTCTTTGTCTGAGACAAAAATAGAACGGTAAGGGATGAACCTAAACTGCAGTGGGAAGGATTTAGGTTAGGAATAAATTGATGCAGAGTATCCCACTACCCATCAGGTAGTGGGAATTTCTTTTTTGGAAGTCTTTAAAGACAGGGTAGAAATCCATCTGTATACATATAGTTCTGCCAAGAGAAGAGATGGAATATGATGACTTTGAGGGTAACCTAAAGCCTGGTTCCTTCATTCAGTAAGTATGAGTGGATTAGACTACTCTGGTGAGGGCACTCTATACTAGGTGCTCTGTGCCGTAACTGAAGAAGTAGTTTTTACATTCAAGAAAATTTTAGATGATTTGGGGACCTAAGACATACGTACAAGAAACAAATAGAAAATAGGTATGTTAAATTGAATCACGGAAAGTAGAAGTACCATAGAAATTAGAGAAATGGACCATCTAAGATGGTATAAAGTTAGTTAGGGAAGGCCCTTTGAAAGAGATGAGTTTTAAACTGAATCTTGAAGCAAGTCAAAGGCAGAGAGTAGCTATTAGGACATAGCAGGCAGAGAATTTAGAACAAGTAAAGGTATGGAGGTTAGGTTGAACAAGGCAGGACACTAGCCTGATTGGAGCAAAGGTTTATTTTTAAAATATTAAATAATGGTTCATTGCTGTCCAAATGTGAATTCCAAGAAAGGTTAGGGCATGGTATAGTGGAAAGTCACACAGACTGAACCACAGTTTCCTCATATGCAAAACATGGACTCTGAGTCTCTTCCAACTTGAAGATCTCTGATCGTACAATGGGGAAAAATCTGAGCATGCAATGTATTTGTTACAGTGTGTGAGCTCACCCTGATTCCATCATAGTTTTCAGACTTTTCAATAAATATTTAATATTTTCACTTAATTAGATTTGGTTGTAGCAGCCTACAAAGTTCTGACTATTCTGATCCCATATTAAGTATTTTAAGGAGTCACTCATTTAAATTCTTTCAAGTTGGGCCCCAGACTTTGGATAACTCCCTTGTTTCTCTAGGTCCTAATTTCCTCCTCTGTTAAACTGGAGTTTTGCACTAAATGATCCCTTTTTATCTCTAGTTGAGCTGAATTTGTGAATTCTGCAAGTGTTTATTAAGTGCTTATTATTTGCCTTGAGCTATAAAGACTGTACAGAAAATAAAGACCTCAAGTTGCTTATAATCTTATCAAGGACAGGAAGACAGGAAATAAAAGGCAAAATTGCACATATATGCTAAGGGAACTCAGATAAGGTAAAGGTCAGTATATAGAGTATGATATTTCAGAGAAGGAAGTTGCAGAAGTGCTACACCAGTTGGGGTAGGTGAGCTCACTGGGAATAAGAAGGTGTGGATTTGTGGAAACAGGAATAGGGCAACCATTTGTATATATCTATATCTATATCTATCTATCTATCTATCTATCTATCTATCTATCTATCTATCTATCTATCTATGTATATACATATATACATATATATATACATATATATATATGTGTGTGTATGTGTGTGTGTGTGTGGCTTTGTTTTTTGCTAGTTTTATTTAGTGCAATTGAGATGAAACACTGCTGCTAGCAGTGGCACATAGTACATTTTTTCTTTCAGATGTCAAGCCATCTAATGTGTTAATTAATACACTGGGCCAAGTGAAGATGTGTGATTTTGGTATTAGTGGTTACCTTGTGGACTCTGTGGCCAAAACTATGGATGCAGGATGCAAACCCTACATGGCTGTAAGTCTCAGAGCTGGAAAATGGACTCTAAAAGAGGATAGTCTACAAAATCCTCCTAGAAAGTGGGAAAGGGTCCTATCATTGAGAGAGAATTGGCTTTTGTCACCACTTACTGCTTCCTGTGATTCATTAACTAATATATTCTTCTAAAGGTCTTCTTTTTCTGTGACTTTTATTTATTTTTTATATTTTTAAATTTACTTTTTGCTTACTATTTTTGTTTTTTACACTATAGTCACTTCCCAATACTGTTCTCTATAGAATCCCCTCTTAAAACAAAGAAAAACTATTATTTAAGGCAAACCAGTACAGTGACTACACCATAAGAAACAATTCTTACTCATAACCCTCTCTGACTTTCTACTATGCTGATTTTTAGTCAATATGTTAACAGTAAATAAAAGGTTATCAAGTTTATCAAATTATCAAAAAAAAGTTATCTGAAGTTTAGTGTTATACTGAAGGAACAGAACAATGATGTTTTTTAAGTACTAACTTAGAATAGTTAGGCCTTGACAGTCTTCCAAGATGAATTCTTGGAACTGTTTCCCATGCTAAGTACTAGACAGGAAGGAATGAATTTAAGTGACATCACAGAGAGGAAAAAAATTAGACATGAGAGAACTTCCTAATTGTGAGGTTTAATTTCTATAATCAGTATTCTTAGGTCCTTCTTAAGTTCAAAGAACTTGTTATTTGCTTCCCTTAAAAATGAAGTTGTATAATATCTTGAAAAATAGTTTTTCAAGGCTTAGTTAAAAAATGAAAATTTGTTTGGTTCTACATAAAGATGGCAACTTTAGTGGAACCTGTTGAATCATTTTATTCTTTTGGGGTTCATTTTATGAATGGATAGTTCTAGCTGGATCTCTGTGATACTTGTTGAATGAGTACATCTATAAGTATTTCTCTCAAAGCATTGCAATCATTTGAAGACAACTGTCAGAAGCTCCTACATTGAGATGTTGATACTTATAGTGACTAGTGAACTGTCTTGTCCAATGTAGTATTTGTATGAAGGCTGTCCTGGCCGCAATGATCCTTCCACTTTTATTTTTCTTTCTAGCCTGAAAGAATAAATCCAGAACTAAACCAGAAGGGGTACAATGTGAAATCTGACATTTGGAGCCTGGGCATCACAATGGTACTGTCTGGTGTTATTCATCTACCTGAAGGTTCAGGGACTGAGGCTGAAGTTGATGGTTTGAGCTTACTTTGGAATTGAAGAGCAATATTCTTGAATTTTGGTCAAATTCCTCTGACATTTGAGGGGATAGGACATCTTTTTCACTTTTAACCTAGGATTCATGAAAATTGATACCAGGAGTATGAGGAGAGGGAATAGGTGAATTGAATATTGAATATAAAGAATACTGGACAAAAGAAAGAGGCATTGCATTCTAATTCTTGGTCTTCCATTAATTAGATATAACTTTGATTTGATAACTCTTCATCCATAAATTCAGGGATTAGACTGGAGGGAGTTCTCAGTTCTTTTCTGGCTCTGACAGTCTGTGCTTTGAGCAAAGGCAGGGATAGACTTAAGCTAAATTAGGTAAATATATTAGGATATACTAGTGAAGTCATTGTCACTGAGTCTGGATAAAAATATTATTTCTCTGGATGTTTTAAAGACAATAATTAGTCTTCAAGCACAGAACTACAGTAGACATGTGAAGACCTGAATTTGAGTTCCAGCGCTGCCACTAACTTGCTCAGGTGGGCTTGAGCAAGTGGCTTTGTCTCCTAGATGATCTGTAGGTCTCATATGAGTCTATGAATTATTGTGATGACTCCCATCTGAAGGATGGGAGAATGGAGCTGATGACTTAGTAGATCTAATACTGAGAATCTACAATTCTTGTAGAATCTGTAATATTCCATAACCTATTGCTGCAGTGTATTTGCAAAGCCTGGGATAGTCTGTATGGCTACTCCTAAAAGCATCTTGAGTGCCACAGTTTAGTTAATTCTGTAAGTTATTTCATTTCTTTTGTCCAGGCAGCACATGCCGCAATCATAGTGAAAGTGGTCTTATTTGGTCTTGGGTTAATCTGTAAGGAGCCAGCAGATGGCAGCAGATATACATATTTATAAAGAATTGACTGAGTGAAGAATTCCTTTTGGTAATAGTTGTTTGAAACTCTGGGTCTTATAAATTATGAAGCCTTCAAATGTGGTGTTTAATATAGTTAATTTAAAAAAAACTGTAAAATTGCAGGAACTTTGCACCCCAGAATAGAAACCACTGTCTGATAGGCTCAGATGAATGTCATTGAAGAGCATTGGGGGAGGGGAGAATGAGGGGAACTCCATTCTTTTCTTCAGCTGGAATTTCCTCCAGTTCCTCAAATGGAAAGCAACTGGTTCCACATCTAAAGCAACATCTTGTTTTCCTTTCTCTCCTCTTAGATCGAACTGGCAATCCTTCGGTTCCCCTATGATTCCTGGGGGACACCATTTCAGCAGCTCAAACAGGTGGTAGAAGAACCATCACCTCAACTACCAGCAGACAAGTTCTCAGCAGAGTTTGTTGACTTTACCTCACAGTGGTAAGCAAACTTCTTCTCTTCCCAGGTGCTACCAGGGTGGAGGATGATTCTTCCAGGTTCGGACAAAGGGTTGAATCTCAATCACATCTCACTAACACCTATTGATATGGGAAGTGGGATATATAGAGGGGGTAGATTATTTCAGCCTGAGCAATTATTTCAGTGGTTAGAGTGATATTCATGAATCTAGAAGTTCTATAGGAAAGTCAATGTTTAGGTTATTTTCCAAAATGTGTGTATACACACACACACACACACACACACACACACACACACACACACGCATACACATATACATATAAACTTGGGATGTATGCTTTTCTAGTGCTGTGGACAGTTTTAGGGACTAGGGAAGGGAAACAATTATAAATGGCAATAGAAAGTAATAAGAAGCTTGATTCATACACTGGTGGTGTTATATTCTTTTAGTTTTCCTAGCAAAGTGTCATTTATTTCAGGAAATCTAGTGATTCCTGTCAACATAGCTTCATTTGACTCTGATTTGCTTAGGGTTTGTCAAACTGCTGAGAATAAGATGTTTGGTATGAATTCCTTCTCTTCCAACTCTCCCTCATCATTCTTCCACAGGGTATGTGTTCTCTCTGTTTTTCAGGTTGTCATGACAGACATCCCAACGAACAAATAACACTCCTTCATCTCTCCCCTCTTTTTTCTCTGCCCCTCCAGTACATTTCCCCCAAGCAATTAAGCTCATAATAGAGTGATTGAAACTGATAGTACATGTTGCTTTCCATTTGGTAATTTGATATTTGTTAACAGAAAAGATGAATGTGTGCTTTAACTGTAATAATTTGCTAATAATTAATATGCTAGTAATTAATAACATTGTCCATTATCTTTATCTTGAGTTTTGTTACCTTTTAGTGCTTTCTTAATGTATATTGCTATAGTCATAGTATGTATTTTCTTTGCCTATGCTTTCTTCACTCTACATCACTTCATATGTCATCCCATATTTCTCTGAATTTTCCATATGTGTTATTCCTTACAGTTGAATGATATTCTATTACATCATATACCACAGTTTGTTTAGCTTATTCCTATTGGGTGCATAGTTTGTTTCAGCTTTTTGCTATTACAAATAGTGAAGCTATTTTTGTACTATTTTTGTTCATTTGGATTCTAAAAAGAGGCTGTCTCAAAGGGGCCATCCTCCCTTTTGGGTCCCTTAGTAATGGAATTTCTTGATCAAAGTATGAACACTAGCATTTCCTATATGATTGCAAATCTTTTTTTTTCCCCCAGAAAGGTTGAGTATAGTAAGAGTTCTACCAACAGTGAATTGGCATACCTGTTTTCTTACAACCTCTCTTCACATTGACTTCTTCATTTTTGCTTTTTGAGGATGTAATACCTCACAAGTGATGAAATTTTCTGATTTGTTAGTGGTTTTGAATATTTTTCACATGGTTGATAGTTTACAATTCTTTTTTATGAAAACTATGTTGTGTGATTACTTGATTACTGGTGAATGTTTCTTATGAATTTGGGTTAATTCTCTGTAAAATTTTGATGTCAGAGAGATTTTAATGTAAAGTTTTTCCTCTATTACTTTTGGGGTTCAAAAGTTTTAAAATTTAATGTAGACCAATGTGCCTCTTTTTTAAAAAAAAAACTACAGTAGTGTGTGTCTGTTATAAATTCTTTCTCTATTTATAGTTGTGTAAGGTAAAACCTATTTTTCTCTAATAAAATGGAATGAAAACGTTTTAAGTTTGTATTATATACCAACCACTGTGCCACTGTGTAGATACAAATAGAAAATTGGAACAGTTATGGCCTGCAAGGAAATCACATTCTAGCTGGGGAAGACAACAGTAAAGAGGGTTCATGTTTATAGTTAATTCACAGAAAATGGAAAGGCCATAGGCAGGGAAAGTAGCAAGGCCAAAAGGGTTGTGAGGTATAATGCCAGGCCAGATGGTCAGTCAGTCTCCTAACAGGAAGATAATTGGGTTAAAAGTTAGTGTAGAGTAAGGTTATGGGATCTCTTTAGCATACATAGAAATCTAGAGGTCAACATCCAGTTAGCAGTGGGTATGCTGTGCCTGATGGAAACTTGGCAGTGAGGAAATGAGGGTTGGTTGGGGAAGGAAATTTTAATCCATAGTGCCCCTTATTAGAAACAGGTGTTTCTGATCTCTCTTTCTGCCATCTCAAGATGCATTTGGGCATGGGGAAAGGAGGGTCCTGGATTATGAAAAAGCCAGTTAGTTTTAATGCTTTAATGATATGGTTTAAAAAAATCAGTGATTTTTTGTTTCAGCTTTTTGCTGTTACAAATAGTGAAGCTATTTTTGTACTATTTTTGTTCATTTGGATTCTAAAAAAGAGGCTGTCTCATGGTATATGATATTAATTGATTCTAAATCCATTTTCTACTGAACTATTGTCCACCTTATTCAGCAGGTTTTTTTTGTGAAATAGTCTCTTCCTCAATAGATTTTGTTCATGGATTTCTTGAACATTAGACTTTCATATTTGTTTGTTCTTGGTATTGCTTATCTAATCTCTTTCACTGAACTAGTTTGGTGATTACTGCTTTGTAATAGAACTGGAGATCAGGTAATTCTAAAGCACTAACCCGCTAACTTCCTAAGATCCTATGACCTTTTTGCCCACATCTCCCCCCTTATGAATTTAGCTATTTTGTCTATTTCTTTAAAATATTCCCTTAGCAGTTGATAAATATTGTGTTAAATTTATAGATCAATTTGAATAACATCACTTTTTGCTTATATTGCTGTGACCTAGCCTTGAAAATGATTTCTTTAACTCTTTAGGTCTCTATTTCTATGGAAATAGGTTTGTAGTTATATTTATGGAGTAGCTAGGTGACACAGTGGAGGGAGTAGCCTGGAGTCAAGAAGACTTATCTTCCTGAGTTCAAATCTGGCCTCAGATACTTACTAGCTGTGTGACCCTGGGGCAAGTCACTTAATTCCGTTTGCTTTACTTTCCTCAACTATAAAATGAGCTGGAGAAGGAAATGTCAAACCACTACAATGTCTTTGCCAAGAAAACCTGAAATGGGGTCATGAGGAATCAGATATGACTGAAGAATGACTGAACAATGGCAAAGTTTTATTTATATAAAACCTATATATATCTTGATAGGCTAAATCTCTAACATTTAAACCATCTTGTTATTTTAAATGGTACTGCTTTATGTTCTTTGTTCTTAGCTTTTTGTTCTCTTTATTATAAAGAGAAATGTTGATGATTTGTGTTAATTTATTTTGTATTTGGCTATATTCCTAAAGCTGTTAGTTGTCTATATCACTTTTTTTCCTTGCTTCTCTAGGGTTTTCCAAGTAAATCTTTATATAGTATATACAAATAGAGACGATTTTGTTAACCACTTTGTGAATGCCTATTTGATTAAGCTATTTTCTTGTCCTATTAACTACCATTTTTACTACTATGTCAAATAATAGTTGACATAGCTGAGACAGTGGACATCTTTGCTTCACCTCTTATCGTATTGGCAAAGTTTCTGCATCAAAAATAATGCTAGGTTTTATTTATTAAATTAGTTTTTTTCAGTTATTAAGTATTACATATATATATATATGCATATATATATATATATATATATATATATATATATATATATATTTCCCCCCACTCTTACTCTCCTCTTCCCACCCCACTCCCACGGGGGGGTGGGGGAAGAAATCAATGCCTATTTAACAAATAAGTATAATCAACAAAACAAATTCCTATATGGACCATGTCTAAAAATGTGTATTTCATTCCGTATACTGTTATAATACCTCTCTGCCAGGATGTAAGTTCTCTAGAATTCTGGATGATCATCTTATTGATCAGAATTCTTAAGTGTTTAAGATTTGTTCGCCTTTACCATGTTGTTACGATGTAGATTATTCTCCTGGTTTTGCTTACTTCATTCTGCATCAGTTCATAAGTCTTCCAAGGTTTCTCTGAAATCTTTTCTTTCTTCATTTCTTACAGCACAATAATATTTTGTTGCAGCCATTTCTCAATTAATCAGCATCCCCCTAGTTTCCAATTCTTGCCTTACCCAAAGAGCTACTCTGCATATTTCTATACAGATGGGCCCTTTTCCTATTTCTTTGAACTCCTTGGAGTACAGGCCTAGTAATGTTTCTGGTTTAAGTATATGCACAGTTTAGTAACTTTGGGAGCACAGTCCCAAATTGCTTTCCAGAATAGCTATATCAGTTACTCTACAAATAGGACATGGACATGCCTGTTTTCTCACAGCTCTTCCAAAATCTGTGATTTTCCTCTTTTTGAATGGGAGAGGGGAATATCAACTTAGCCAATCTGATACGTCTGCATTGGAATATCAGAGTGGTTTTAATTTGCATTTCTCAAATTATTAGTAATTTTAAGCATTTTAAAATCCATATATTTTTATGTAGCTTTGATTTCTTTCCTTGAGAATTTCCTATTTAAATCCTTTGACTATTTATCTGTTGGAACACATCTTTATTCTCATAAATATCTTGGAAATGAGGCCTTTATGAGAGAAATTTGCTGCAAAGATGTTTTTCCTAGAAATTTTTTCCCCTAATTTTTACTTCTTGGCTGTAGATAAATGCTTTTGCTCCTATTAAGGAAGGAACTTTTCATTCCTATTCTTTTTTTTTGTATTTAAAATGTAAATGCTATATTTTCTCAAAGGCTTTTTCTGCATCTATTTATGTTACATTTTAATTTTTAGTATTTTATTACTAACACGATCACTTGTGCTAAATATTGTCCTAACATAGAACCATTATTTAATTCCTGGTATATATCTAAATAGAGTATAATGAATAGTTTTTGATACGTGGCCTCTTTGGCAACATTTTACACTTTGCGTCAATGGTCATTAATGATATTTGTCTATATTTATTTTTTTTTTCCACATTATCCTTCTTTGGTTTGAGTATCAGAATCATAATTGCCTTAGAGGAAGAGTTATATATATTTTAAATTTATTTTTGGGA